GGGGACGGCGGAGGGGGCATGGACCCCCCCCCCACCACATCCATCCTCAGCCCTTCCCAGGGTCAGATTTCAGGGCATTTCCAACCTTCCCCTCCCGATGTCGAATTGTAATGTTGAAAAAACAACCCCAAACTTTATTTTTTTTGTTCTCAGTGCAACACACAGCAGAGGTTTTGCATGATCTGGGCTTGGCTTTGTTTTATTCCCCTCTGAATTAGAGCGTCCTAGACTTTCAGTGCTGCAGACTGCCAGGAAAAGTCCCTGCTCCTGCCCAGGTCACTCTGCCCTCTGTGCGACATGGGAGACTGGGCAAGATGCACCTGGTTTTGACCCAGTCGGTGACAATGCTTATGGTTTGATGCTATTCAGACCCGGTTCGGTCCAGCAACTTTGCATCTCTTGTTTTTTTTAAAAGCATCCCCTCCCTGTTATGTGTATGTGTGTGTGGCTCTGCACTCAGTACATCTTGCTGCCTGCACGCACCTCAGCCATCTCAAGCAAACCGAAGGCATAAGGGCAGGTCGGAGGAGCAAAGCGAGTTAAAATATCTGCCTTCTGTACAGTCCTGCTCGCTTGCAATCAGTCCTGGATGTCACTCCTGGTCTTAATTTCGTACAATGTGAAACTGCAAAGTTCCTATGGCTGGGATCCATGGTCAGCTCTGGCCAAGCGAATTGACCTCAATAGCAACCAGTGGTCTTGGAGCTGCCAATGTGACCAGGCAGGCAGACATCCAGGGGGAACAGGAAAGCAGCTAACAGCTCCTCATAGGTTTTTCTTTTTAATCTGGATACATAATAGACAGTCAGGAGCATTTCGTCTTCTTGCCATAAATAGAGGCTTTGTATATTAATGGGTAGATGCCCTTTGACAAGCATCTATATTCATCTGTTTTTATTATGAAACCAAACCTATATCCAATAAAATATTTTGTTCGATGACATGGCTGATTCTTTCCAAATCATCTTCAGTTCACGCAGCTGATTATGAGTGACGGTGAGGGAAGAAAAACCTGGCCTTTTAGAAATGCAAGACCCTGGATTTCCAGGGTCCGTGTTTGGGGTGTGGCGGTAATCGGAAGGGGATTGTTCTGGAGTGCAACCGTGCATCGAACAGCTCAGCGCATTCGAAGGGAAAAAGATGAGGGATGCTAATGAAAGGGCTTCGAGATGCCAGTGACTGCTCTGAAAGGCTTGTCTCTCTCGTTCACGCACAGACTTTAAACAAACACTTTGGCTAGCAGAGACCTGGCTATCTCCACAAAGCTGTTTCAAAATCCCTACCATTTCCCACAGGACCCTCCGGGTTGCCTTTGAAATGTCCTAACTCCTTGGCATCCAGTCGCTGAGCAGAATAGGCCAATAATTCTTATTTTAACCAATGTGGGAAAGTACAGAAAGTCACTAGCTGTAGGAGGCATTCCTGACCTTATCTATGTCTGCAAGCTAACACAGCCAGTTAGCCATACGTATTGTACCAAGGCAGGTACAACCCCTTGTATTTTTACATACCCAGATTGAAAATTCACTGTTATATCCATAGCTGAATTGCAAGAAAGGGCTTTCAGGTACACACTTGACCGCGTTACATTATTTGAGCTGCCAAACATAATGCTGGCTGGCTGAGGCTGCTGAAAATCTGCGGTGTTAAATTGACCTCGTGGTTCACAGGTGAGACTTTAAAACCGTGGATAAGGAATTACAGGAGTATAATAAATTGGTCCAGTTTCAGGCAGCCTCATGGCTAGAGTGGAAAGAGTTAATGTTTTGTCCTTTCGAGATTATTAGTCTAATATGCTGTTCACTTGTGTAATGTGATACCGGTGTTGTAGCGAATTAAATAAATGGCCACCTTGTGAAGAGGGTCCTATTAGTCTGGGGTTGTGGATGACATCATGAAAGGCTTTCAGGAGTCCGGGTGGCAAAATCACTCACGGGAAGCAGCACAAAGAGCCGGGAATATGGCCGGGTCACTTAAACCGCGCACAGTTCTCGCGCAGGTATATCTGCCAGTGTGCTTAATGGGCCCTTTGTGTGTGTATGAGCGGGGGTGAAAGGGGGTGCAGGGGAAGACGAGAAGCAGATCCTATTGCAAGTGGGAGTCCGTGGGCTTTTTGCTATCGGCTGCCAGGGGAGGGAGATCTGCGGGAACATAGCTTATTACCAGACATAGGTTAGATGTCCTTTTAGTTCAGCATCCTTTCTCCAGATGTGCGAGAGAAAGATGCAAGCAGACAGACTATCTGTTGGTTTGCTAAGGTTTTGCAGCACTCACAGTTGCTAGGCTGGGTCTTTTTGCTCTGAATTGCAAGGGTTTCTCTCCCCTTAAAAAATAACAATGACAAAAACCCCAAACCACCCCACCCTTTTGTCACTGTGGATTTTCTTGTTACCCACACTGAACCGGTTCCTGTGGCACATCGCCACAGAGATGCCATCTTACGGGCACTGCTCCAAATCAGGATGCAGTTTACACCAAGGCAACACCCCTCTAGCAACTGCATTCATGCTCAGAAGTGGATGGGTGGGGGGAATAATTTTTGGCTGCAGGCTGGCCTACAAATATCCACATACAACACTCCTCTCCCCCCAGCCTAAACATCCCCACTAAAAGAAAAACAAATTCAATTTTACACATTTCTTGGTTTTTAGCCTTACCCCCATCACCTGACTCCCTGGTTTCGCACCCATCCAGCTCCCAGACAAGCCCTTTAGACACCACTTTGGAAGCAGGGACAAGGCTATATCCCAGTGCTTTCCCCTGTAGCATATAGCATGTCTGTGGGTAGAGAAAGTGGAGGATGGTGGCTTCCCCTGTCCTGTGGCTCCAGGCTCTCATCCTGTGAGAGGGTGCTCTTTGAGGAAAAGAAACAGTAATCCCTTTTGTAAGGAAACAGCCTTTAGTGGCATCGCTGTCCTTCCTCCCATGGGTAACCCAGTGGAGATGAATCAAGGAGGCTGAACCAACAGCCCTGCTCTCTGCAGAGATCAGAGAAGGGCTTTGTGGCCCATGGCTTGTCCGTAGAGGGCAGCTTGGACTTTGCCAGCTGAAGTTTTGCTCCCAACAATATGCTGTTGCAATGAAGTCTGCAAGCTAGTGAGTTGTGTTAAAAGAAGTGGAATAGCTTAATACCGGTAGCCTTTCAATTTTACAGGCTGTCCCCTTGCTGTTAGGCTGTCAGAAAGAATAATATGGCTGAGTGACTTTCTCTCTTCCTTGCTTTAGGACAGGGTGGACAGTAAATAGGTTTTATGCAGGCCTGAAAATGAAATGAGAATTTCATCCCAGATCATACCATAGATCATTTTTTTATTCCTAACCCCTTTTTCAGAGTGGTGTTAATTTGTGTATGCTCCGGCAGTTTATTTTCTCAGCTCGTAGTGACGTTTTGTTTTGTTTTGTTTTATTTTATTTTATTTTACGAGAGAAGGAAGGCTACCACTGCATCTTTGTTATTTTTAAACAATTTAACTAGGTTTGGAAATCAATACATCTTTTTGTGTCAAAACTAAGCCCATTCTGAATGAATCGGTTAATTATTCTGAGTGGCAGTTTGGAGTGAGAGCGGACAGCTGATCAATGCTTGCCGCTGAGAAAGAATATGCATAAAAGAAACATATGGCCAGTGTTAAGAATAATTTATTTGTACACTCCTTTCACATGCCACCTAGAAGCCAAATAATGCTCTAACACTAACTCTATAATGTACAGACTCCATCAATGCACACGCAGGAGTATGCATTTATGTCCACACGCAACCCATTCTGTTTGCATCTAGCTGAACACATTATTGTTGTTCCAAGAAGCAGCCACGTTGACAGTTTTGCCATTCTCTTGGGGCAAAAAAATGTCAAATATAAATGAGCATCTTGACATGCTTCTGGAATTTGCTGGCCCTCATTTCACACCTGTTTCATAGCAAGGGAGCAGCTGCTGGCGCTCAAATCCACCACCCACTATTTAACTTATCTGTGGAATCTTCAACATGGATTTTTCAACCTCCGCAGTCTGAAACACTGAGAAAAAAAGTCGAAAATATTCTCAGATGCAGCATAAATAGGGTACTGCCAGTGTGGGTGGTGTATATGCCTCTCCATTCCCCTACGTAGGAATGACCTAGCTCAACTCATCAAGGTTTCATGTCTTGGAGTTATGCAGATACTTTTCACCGGTGGGAGGGCACAGAGCGTATACAGCACAACACACTAGACGTGAAGTCATTTGGCTCGCAGGATAACTTCTTTCCAAACACAAGTTTTCTATAAGGGGCGTTACATTTGCACGGAGCGGTACCTTGAAATGATTTGGGAACTGCGTTCCATGTAAGTAGGGCTCCCAGTCACTGAGTGAGCGTTCGCATAAAGTTCCCACGACATTAAAAACAACCTCGGGAAGTATTTATGTATGGGCCAAAGCTGTTTTTGTGCAAGCCCTTGTTCAGAAGAGCCCATGGCTGCTCTATCCTAGCTCCTTCCAAGGTGAAATCACAGGAATCGTGATGACAACTGAAATATGATCATACTTTTTGCTATTTATTTAAAAAAAACAAAAACCTCACAGTGACTATTTTCTTTCCTGCCTCTCCCAAGACAGACTCTCTGCTTGGTTGCATAGGAAGAGATCTCTCTTCAAACTCTAGGCCAGAAATTCTCTGCTAATTCCTAGGTGGTTGGTTATAAATTGCATAGGTTGGCAGGAGAGGGCAGGATGGAGTAGATTATTACCTATTCCAGGGCTGCCCAACTGGCAGCCCACCCGCCACATGAAGCCCATGAGGGCTTGCAACCCCTGGGCTCCCACTCCTTTCATCTCTCCATCTGCAATAGTAAAAAGAGCCTTTCAGCTCTCCCTCCCTCCTACAGCTTCCACATTTTGGGGTGATGTGGCATGGTGATGGGGGGCCGTGATCCCCTAGCCCCATGGCCTGTTGCTGAAGCTTAAGGGGATATGCAGCCCCCATCCACTTAGAATAGCTGCCCTGACCTATTCCATACCACCGTTTATTCCAGGTGCCGTTTATTCCCAAGAAAAAAAAAATCAGATGTTAAACAGGCAGCACATCTGATTTAGCCCAAAGACCAAGAAGAAGAGATCACAGAACCAGAGAAGTAACAGATGGAAAAAAGGGGCTAATAGGTTATGTCATTAATCAGGCTGGACATTGCATAATTGCTCCCAACAATATATTTTTAGTGCTTTATCCAGACAAATCATGAAGTGCTTTAGAATGGGCCAGATCCTTCCCAGCGTACGTGTGCTAAATTCAGCATCATTGTGAATTTACTGCACAGAGGTCCTACAGAGTGGATGGGCTATTTACTAAAGGGCTCAAAGATCGCTTTTCTTCAATGAAGGAAGTGGAATGTGTTTCATGGAAAATACATGTGGGCTCCGATACTATTGTCCTTCTGGGAGTGCAGAATTAGGCCCTAAATCTCATTTTCAGATTATGGAGGAAAATACATTATTACTAATTTGGATGCGTGCTTACTCCAAAGTAAAGCAGTGTTAATGTTCATGAAAATGCAATTTGTTTTAACCCAGCTTCAAAGGCAGCTTCAGCAAAGCGTAAAGAGTGTTTATTTAAAATACAGTTGCTAAATTTAGCATGAGCTCGGGCAGCCTGCATCTTAGCGACATTTTTAGAGAGCACACTGCAAATCAGGAATGCGCAGAGAAATAAATAAACTTTCCCACATTTTTGGAAATCAAGTCAGAATTTGCAAGTTATTTCTCGCATGAGCGACTTCTGAGGCTTGGAAAGCGTTGTGCATAATGTATGCTTCCCATTACAGATAAATAGACATTTGAAAGAACCAAATAAATCGTTATTTCTATACTAATTTCATTATTACAGTGCCACTTCAAGGACAAATGCAATGATAGGAGCCAGCTATTGTGATGAAGCATTATGCAGAATGTTAACAGAGCATCACTAGTCACTATTATTACTTGTCCAGCCCTGAAAACATGCATGTTACTCTGTGAGATCTAATATGAAAACATACGATGCTCTGAAAAGCTCGCAGTCTATTGGAAACAGAGAGTGCAGGGCAGCCCAAGGGAAGGAATAACTTTGAGGGAATTGTTCTGGTTACGTTTGGTTTACTTTATGTCTTGGGACCATTAAGAGATGATTAAAACACAATTATTCTTCAAACCCAAATGAGATGCCTTTGCTTGGAAGAATGTAAATACCCAAACAGCAGATTCCTACATTGATACGCCTGTAGCAGGACTACAAATCAGGGATTGATTATCTGATATTTAAATGAATAGGCAGTATTGATACACAAATCATTGTGGACTGGGTCTCAAAGCTTGTAGTTAGTGAGAATAAGTCTATGGGCTTTGACAGGTTTTGAGCCGCGGCTGTGTAATTCCCCTTAAAGGTAACAATGAAACTGTGCAACGCTGCTATGCTGATTTACACCCGAGAATCCAGTTGAATCTCACCTGAACGGGACCCAGGGATTCAATCAGAAACCCAGGTTAGTTCATTCTGCCTCTTTTTTACACTATTGGAACAGCTAAACACAGGGCATTCAGCTGTGGGACGATGACTTAATTTACATTACAGTGATCTAATTCAGCTGCACTATGATCAAAGTACCAAATAAGGCAGCTTAATTGAAAATTATAACATCCTAACCACACAGACGAAAGACCAAGATTAGCTTTCATGCTTTGTCCTGCTTTTTTTTCCTTCTTTTTTTTTTTTTGCTTGCCTTCAGCATTGCTTTGCTGGGCATACATGGAGGTACAACCTCATTATAGCAAGCTCCTATACAATCGGGACACATTTTTTCTTACAAGCGGGTATTCTCTTTGCAGGGTTAGTCAATGTGCTGCATCTTCATGGTGAAATAATTCGTCTTTGCTGCTGCGATTTGTAAAAAATGGGGCATGTTATGCATAGGAATTTGCAGTGAGGTTGAATTGTATTTCATTATATATTGCCTTAAAATACCAAGCAAACCCAGAACAGAAAGAAGCACTCACTTGGGATTCTGTATTTGAACTCTGCTCTTTTTACTGATGGAGACATCTGAACGGAGCCATGGGATATCAGACCCCTATATTATGTGATACTCTTTTCCTTTCATATGCATGTACACAGACACCATTTGAACCCATCTGAGGTGACAATAATGTTGACCCCAGTTCATAAA